CCTAGCAATTGTCCTTTGAAGGATAATGAAGGCATCACATCGCAAATGTTCACATGGACATTTATGGTATTCTTTTGATTAATTGTAGTCCTAGTATACTCTAACATACAAAATCCTTTTTGATATTTTTCTATCGATATTACCAATCAGCTTACAGGTACTCTCATACTGAAACAGCCTACACTTATATAAACCATGGTTGTTACGAATACAAAAATTTATTACATAAAAATCCAATGAATTCATTTCTTCTCTGAAACAATCTTCTAGAACAGGCATCTAGTTGCCATCAATTTCGTACACGAAATAATTTTGTCTTCATGATTATTGGTCAGTAATAATATTGAATACAATCTAATCAATGAGTAATGCCCTGCGTATTCGAAATAATCCATATTGTATATTTTTATTCATTTTTATTGTTTTAGTTTCAAATTGGTGCCTTACATTTCCTAATGACGTACTCAAAATATTTCAAAAACCCTGGTCTAGAATATTCGTGCAAGTTATAATAATTTATTTACAAAACTTTAATGTTATTGAACTCTCAATTCTCAATTTCAATACGTCATTACATGTAGGTACATTGAGTTTATTCAATTGTTAACTTGCAAGTTATAAATATTGTAATTTATCTTTACTAGCCTGTAGAAATTTATGGAATAAAAAAGTTTAACTAGGTAACCTTAAATTTCTCTAATTTCCTGTTGTGCTATTTATTTTCCTCAGCAATTAGCAAAGTTAGTTGGAACTAATGAGTAGATTCACTTACGTATATGTTGCTGAAGATGTTAGCTCCGTATGATAACAGAAACTTCAGATCAATTCCACACGAATAGATTTCATAAAAAAGCAATAAAACGTAAAAAACCATAGACACAAATGTAAAATAGGTCATACGTACAAGGAAACGGGACCTATACCAAAGAAAACAAGTACGCTTGATGTCGTTTAAGTTATCTAAAACGAAACATATAATGAATACGTTTTAATTATATATATATAATATATATATATATATATATATATATATATATATATATATATATATATAACTAATATATAATAGTACGAGCGTACTACTAACGCAACCTATTGACATTCAAAAACATCGTTCGATGATATTTGTCAAATGGACATTGCAATTTAGTAGATACCTACGGGTATAGAATATTGTGAAATTTCGATGCTTGGTGTGTCTGTAATCTGAGAGAGGTGTTTCCTACTGATTTCTATAGATGGAATTGTAGAGTATTCATTACTCTACGATCTTCCGCTTGAAGTCACAAGAAGATGCTTGGAGGTTGAAGTCGTTGCCTCACTTCGATGGACGTGGTGCGACTGACGAGTTCCTTGCAGAAGGAAACATATATGTCTCGCACGTCCATCAAGTGTGGCATCGATTTCAATATTTCTCTAACATTCATCCCTTGAAGGATAATGGAGACATCACATCGTACAAGTTCACATATCTAGCTTTACTATAACATTCTCTTGATTAATTTAAATTTTTCAAATGAATATATATATATATATATATATATATATATATATATAAATGGTTATTTTTCATTAACACTTTGGCTAATTTTAAATTTGCAAGCGTATCAGGATAGGCGTCAATGACACTAGTCAGTACCTTTTAACATAAACCTCAATATTTAGGATGCAATCCTCGATATTTAATCTGTTATTTGGAGACTTCCTCAGGAGGCTCTACAACATAAAAGTACAGAATTAAAATCTCAGATTATTCCGAAATACAAAAACAGAAAATTACAAGATGGAAAAAATATACTTCCGTATATTCGTATTAACTTATACGAATATACTTTCTACACCGGTAAAGCGGAAGAAACAAACAATAACAATTCAGGGCTAGCGTGCTGAACGAGAACTTCGGGAAAACTGAGATGAAACAACACAACAGGTGTACTGCACCTGCCGTCATCATCTCAGACGGTTAATAATATTTCAGTAAATAATATTCGTCATGTCTATGTCTGTCTTGAAATTGATAGAATCAACATTCTTATTAATGTGGAACATTCCCAAAAATAATACACATTTATACGTGCTTTCGTGTTCCAAACTTTTAATTTCCTCGAAATCAAAACTATATCCCATATCCACACAATGCTTTGCTGCAGCCCAAGACAATTTTTTTTATACGAATATCACTCCTGTGCTGTGTCATTCGATTTTTTAACCACTGTTAAAACATATCCAACATATACCCCAGGACAACCAGTAGAAGGACTTTTATAAATCACATTGTTCATGTAGTGGACCGGTGATTTGTAACTTTTGAAAACACATCAGAAACCAATCTGACGGTATCGAACTCTGAGAATATTGACACTTCAGAACTGGTTAAAAATTAAGTTTTGAAAAATACGTTTTGGTATCCGATATTCTGAAAAATGGAAAACAGTTTCTTCAAATTATCTGTATGGAATGTTTCATCACAAATGCTCAAAATTCTGTTCATCATAGCAATAACCAAGTTCAATTTCTGACATGTTGAGTGGTTCTAATAATAATTAAATAATCTTCCCGAAGCAGTAGGTTTTTGGAACCAGTTTAGAACGAGCCCATTATCATCCGGTCTTATTACCAATGTATCCAAAAATGGTCCCCTCCTATTGTTTTCCGAAGCAACAGTGAACTGTTAATGATTTTTGTGTGAATCAAAAATCTTTGAAGTGGTTGCAATTTCCGATTCAGGCACAGCGTAAATGATATCCATTTTTCAGAATAACAGATATCCAAAACATATTTTGCAAAAGTTAATTTTCAGCACACAATTTCATGACGGCCCTACTGGGGAAACTCGTATCAATTTCAAATTTGAGAAGATTCCTTATATGCATGGTCTAACCAATTCTGTAGTGTCAATATTCTCATAGTTCGATACCATCAGATTGGCAAAGTATAGTCCTTTGAGGATCTCTGATGTGTTTTAAAAGTCAAGGCCCAACCACGGGTCCACTACATGAACAATGTGATTTATAAAATTCCTTTTACTGGTTGTCCTGGGGTATATATTGGACAGAACAAACAATGGTTAAAAAATCGGATGTCACAGGACAGGAGTGACATTCGTATAAAAAAAATTGTCTTGTGCTGCAGCAAAGCATTGTGTGGATACGGGACATAGTTTTGATTTCGAGGAAGTTAAAATTTTGGAACATGTAAGCAAGTATGAATGTAGATTATTTTTGGAAATGTTCCACATTATTAAGAATGTTAATTCTATTAATTTTAAGACCGACATAGACATGACGAGTAATATTTACTGTAATATTATTAAACGTCTAAGATGATGATGGTAAGTGAAGTACACCTGTTGTGTTGTTTCATCTCAGTTTTCCGTAGTTCTCGTTCAGCACGCTAGCCCTGAATTGTTATTGTTTGTTTTTTCCGCTTTACCTATATGTCGAAAGTTTATATATTTTAACTATTGTGACTAGTTCCATCTTGTAAGTTTTTCTGTTTTTGTATTTCGGAATAATCTAAGATTTATTGTTGTTAAATATAAAAAAATATGAATAAATTGTTAAATAACCTTCATGCTGTAGAGCCTCCTGAGGAAGTAAGAGACGAAATATTGAGGATTGAATAGTAAAAGGAACTGATTAATGTCATTGACCTCTAACTTGATACACTTGCAAATTTACATATATATATATATATATATATATATATATATATATATATATATATATATATATATATATATATATATATATACATATTATATATAAAGGGGTCATACAGCTGATTAGAATTACAGATAAAAAGTTTTTTTCATTGTATTATTTAGTTATACTGAATAAAAACCCAATGATATGTTCAACTCATGAAATGCGAAATATTTGTACTATATAAAGTATTGAAATCGGATGTTATAACATTTTTTCTTACATAATTGGAAATATATTTATATTTACCAATATACGAAGGCATTCTGCTGTAGTCACCAATTGAAAATAAATAAGATAAAATACACCATATAGTAATTGATTGAAATATTATATATAATTCAAAATGTTAGGGGATATATGTTATTACTTGTGAATTAATTTTTCAAAGGTTGGTTTTTATAATAAGGATGAAAATAATTTAATTTATGAGTATTACGAAAGAAGCATCAGAAATTCAGGAATTACTATTGCATTTTATGAGAATTCATTATATATATATATATATATATATATATATATATATATATATATATATATATAATATTTTTTCAAATGGATTTTTTGCCTGTTTGAGACAGTTTATTTTGAATGTTTTTAGCAGTAAGCCTGTTATTGATAAAAACATTAAAAAAAAATATATGTATATATATTATTTTGAAAGTTTTTAGCAAATACAGGCTTTTTCTGATATGAAAAAGTTTATTTTTGTTGACGTTTCGTTGTTATATTACAACTTTGTCAAAACTAATGAATAAATTATTAGTTTAAATTCATTAGTTTTGACAAAGTTGTCATATAACAACGAAACGTCAACAAAAATAAACTTTTTCATATCAAAAAAAGCCTGTTATTGCTAAAAACTTCCAAAATAAATTATCTTAAACAGGGAATAAATCAATTTCAAGATATATATATATATATATATATATATATATATATATATATATATCTTGATATATATATATATATATATATATATATATATATATATTTATATATATATATATATGTATATATAGTAAAAATTCGATTTTTGGTTCAATTAAAACAAAATGATGTTAAGTTTTTTCCAATTATGTTTCGGTTATTATTTTAACTTCTATCAATTTGATACATGTCTAATGATCGCTAAAACAAAAATGGATATGAAAATAATGCCTACAAACCCACTAATGATTTAAAATCTTACCACAAACATAAATACCTCAGACACAAAAGTTAACTAAATTAACAATTATATTGACAATTACACTCAAAATATCTAAAATATTTCCAAATAACACGTTCATGTCGGTCTCCGTAGCTCAGTCGGTAGAACACCCGACTATGGTGCGGTAGAACTCGGGTTCGAGCCCCGCTGTAGGCATGGATGTTTGTGTTTGTCTATGATTTGGGAAGTTTGAATAATGATAAATGCTGGGTAATGTACATTGATTACAAGCCCATTCGGAACCGGCGTTAAACTGTAGATCCACCGAATTAAAAAAAAAAAAGAATAACACGTTCATCTCTCAAAGCATATTGTAAATATATGACTCGACTTGGAGACCGATCACGTCTATAATATCGCTCACATCAAACAATACATCTTTATATTTTGCAGCGTGCTCCTATGCGGTTAAAATATTGTTGTATATTTTACTTAGACCAGTTATGTCAGTTTTATCGCTGATGGAATCTGGATTTTTCTTTATATAGATCATTTCCTGGATTTCTCGTTTTCTTTCATGCTACTCAGTTTTGAGGATTTTTGTAGCCGAAAAATCAAACTTATGACCTAAAATTTGTTAGTGTTTTGTGAGGGCAGGGTGTCTTTTTTAAATACCTATGCCCATTTAACCTATTTTCCAAGTATTGGCTTGTTTGTTTAATATATATTCCTGTACAGTCTGAACATGGAATATGGTATATTGTGTGGGTTTTTTATCGGTTGGAATAGTACTTTTCAGTCTGCTGAAATTGTTTTGTAGCAGATTATACCCCTTACGGCACACCTCCATGTTATATTTCTTAAATAGTTTGCACAGATTTACGGACAGGTACGGAATATGTACTATGCATAGACATTGGTTGTTCTTTTTATCTTCAGTTTTAGCAGTGTTAAAATTGTTTTGGTTTTGTGTTGAATGCTTCTTTTGTCTTTGTTCAAAAATTTCACCGACTAGTTTTTTGAGATAAGAGTTTAGATGTAGTATTTCCTTCGCTTTATATACTGCGTCATGTACAAACTCTGAGTCACTTAGTTTAATTGCTCGATCTGCTAGCCCAGAATTTTTTGGGATATGTGGTGCTGCGAATTTACATAAAATGTTTTATTATATTGAAAATAAGTGGAAGTTAGTGTAAGTTCTACAGCTGTTAAGAATTCATTTAATGGGATGTCAGTGTATTTCTTTATATCTAACCATCTTGCTTCTATAACCCTCAAAGCAGTTTCAATTGGTACATTGGTATGAAGTGATACCACGTCCAATAATATTAATTCATATTCATCTGGGAACACAATGTCCTTCAACATTTATTTGAAACTCCAGGAGTCTTTTATGTAATAGTTATTGTGATGAGCCATATTTGATAATATATTCTTTAGGTATTTAGATAAATTCTCAAAAGGTGATTGTATACAGGATACAATGGGCCGTAAAGGTGTTCCTGCTTTGTTGCTTTGTGTAACTTGGGCAACCCATATATTCTCGATGGTAACGCGTTCTTATTTTAAGGTGCTTGCCAGTGTTCGGAGAGCACTTTTCAATGAACATTTGCCAGTGTTCGGAGAGCACTTTTCAGTGAATATTTGTATATATATATATATATATATATATATATATATATATATATATATATATATATATATATATATATTCGATATTTCAGTTTATGGAAAAGCTCCCAACATGACTTAGCGAAGTGTAACAAAAGCATCAAACGAGCGAGATTACTAAAGTAACAAGATAATTTTGTAAGCTGAATTATTGTTTTGGAAATGGGATTTTCAAGAGTTATTATCTGCTGTTCCTCTGTTCCATTGTTGTTAAAAAGGCAACAGCGGAAGCTGTCTTCCTTCCAAACTGAAAAAAAAAACAATTGATCAGTATATTATTCAATGTTTTTCGTAGTTCGGAGTCTGAATGATTCGAGTTAACCTCGTTTCATTTTGTTCAGTTAATCAAAAATTCTATTATTAATCTGTGTAACGAAATAATACAAACCCAAATCACGAAACTGAAATCTATGCGAATGACACCAGCTGTTACAGCTCTATCTCTAGCAGCATAACCAAGTAGAATTCTGTAGGACTTTTGAGTATTGTGTGCCCATTCGTACCATTGACATTTACATAATGTGTTATAAAATTCTTGGTTCTGAAAATCATTTATATATTAACTCTTGTAGATTATCATCACCATCAATGAAACTACATACAACCCGAGTTGGGATTTGGCTTCTCATTTCTAGATTCTAGATATTACGAAGGAATGACAAACTTGTCTTGTTTCTTTTGACTTAATTTCAACTACTAGTTTCAATTAACTTAGCTTGCGGGGGGACTTAAGAAACAGGGCATTGAAAGTCACACTGCTGTACATTGTATTCATTTTGAAGAAATAAAGCACATAATGTCGAATAAAAAATGAAAAATTAGCGACAGTAGTGTGAATAGTGAGAACAATCACTAAAAAGGAAGCTTCTATAATGCAAACATAAACAACATTTGAGACATAATTAGATCATTTATACTTGAAAATTATCTAAAATGAATTAGCATCATTCTCTTACAATAAAACTCACCTGATCCGCATAAAACTGGCAAAAAGAAATTAAATTAACAGCGATTAAAGCAATTGTAATCCAAACCACAATCAGGGTGAGTTTATAGTTGAAGTCAAGGTCAGCCTGAAATCACTAAAATGAAAAACTATCTGAGAAATCAATGACCAAATTATGTCATATTAAAACTCACCTTAAATTTATCGTCTTTAATCAACACCTGTTGAAATAAGTTTTATAAGTAAAAGATTTCTCAAATAAGTTAATAGTGATGTTTTATTTCCTGCAGATTTACATAAGAGTACAGGATATTGCCATAAAAAAGAACTCACACAACATGAACTTATGAATAAACATTAAGATAACAACATAAAAAAATACGATAATTCAAGTAGGTATCACAGTATGTCGTACACAGCATTTGATCACAGTTTTCATACACAAGTTTATAGTTTACTTCATTTATAATATTCATTTATTGAATAGAACGTTCCCTGCAAAAATGAATTTCATTTATTTTGCGTTTGAAGATTAAATTTAAAAATACCACGAACATCAACAGGCAGTTCATTATATAGTATCAAAGCGAGGAAACGAGGAGTTCGCTGAAACTGGTTCAGCCTAAAGAACGGAACATGTAGGGTGTTGGAAGAACGAGTTGTGTAGACAGATAACTGACCTCGTTAGGCTGTTGTTGGGGTAACTGATAGATGTTTTTCTTCACGAACAATAAATTCTACAGAATATATATATAGATGGAATGGTCAGTAAGTTGTTCTCGAAATAAAGTCTACAAGTTTCTCAACTAGGAATAGCATATGGGCAACGAATGATCCGTTTTTGCATTTTGAATACTCTGATGCTGTTTGCACTATAACCCCAACATAAAACAGCGTAGTATAATGATGACTGAGGGTATGCGCTGTAGTAGAGTCTCAATGCACTGTAATCCACACGATCTCTAAGACATTTATTTGCGTAGCATTTGGAGGCAAGGGAGGAGCACAAAGAATGGATATGGTGCTCCCAAGATAGACTATTATCCACAAAGACACCCAGAAATTTGACTGCAGGTGACGTCCGAATAAAACCAGCTTGTCCACGAATTAGTGGACAAGAGTTTGATACTACTCCTTTTGTAGTGAATTGTATTATTTCAGTTTTTGTATCGTTGAGGACCAGTCTATTCTCTCTCCACCAAAAGAACATATGTACGCTCAAAACTAGCGATTCCACTTTCCGTCAGCTCATGTAGAGTGTCTTCTCGGTTCTGAAACCAGAACCGAGCAGTCATCCGCAGAAGCGTCACACTTCGACTCAGGTGTTACAGGCAGCTCACTAGGTCGTTAATAAATATTAAAAATAATATTGGTCCCAAGGTACTACCCTGTGGAACACCAGCTGTTACATTTCTGGGATCGAAAAGGATTTTCCTGCATCTGAAGAAAGACATACTCTTTGGATCTATCAGCAAGATAGGATTTAATCCAGTTTAGAGGGTTTCCCGAACTCCACTATTCTCCAACTTATAAAACTGAGCATCATAATTAACCGTGTCAAATGCACGTTGATGGAATAACTTTTTTTGTCTCTCTGCCTCTCTGGATCTCGTCTCGCCAGTTTTAGCATTTTGATAGAGTTAGTAGATCAGTTCGATTGATTATGATTTCTGAGTAGGTATAGAAGTGTGTAAAAATCTGAGAATTTTTTGATAATTATTACCGGAATCATCAGTCTATACCAAAAGTGAATATTTCACAGGCATTCCCAAGATGCAACAAGGCATGTCAAGTTGCAACATATAATACTACTATATAAAGGAGTTTTCTAGAGTAATCTGAAATATTATATACATCAATCAATTTGAAGACGAAAAGTTTTGATAACAAGTCTGACAAGCTTCGCCGTTAATGAGATAAAATGTGCTAAAATTTATCAAAAATTTCGAAACCTTATATGAGATATCCTGGCAATTTTTATCTCAAATATCAATTCTTGTTGTACTTACACTTGTTAACATGTAGGAGACGAAAATGAAGGCGAAAAGTCCTAACCAAACAATAAAGTAAAGTGAAATCTGAAGTAGTTTTTCTAACAGAATTTGATATCTGAAAAGAAAATTACATATCATATTACAACCATTGGTTGAAGAGTTATTACTTATTTATTAGACGTAAAATTCAAGTCTTCTTTCAAAATATTGAGGTTCATTTGAATTATTTAATTAGATCAAATTCAGAATTAATAAAGAATGCCTCATGCACATTATCTTGTGAAAGTTCTTCACTATTCATTGAAATTCAAAATAAAGTGCTTCTAATGGTTGATTCACATTAAGTAACGTCAACGTCACATCACGTTATCGACGTAACCTGAAAATATTCTGTAAAATTTCACTGCTGAAATTGTGACTTGTGTTGAATAAAGCTACTTTAAAAAGATTACTAACAACATGTACGAGTATAACAAAAGATTTTGCCAATAGTTTTGTTCATTCCTCACAAGTAGATGTGATCCTATTCAATTTTTTAAAAGCATTCCATAAGTTAGATCAAGACATCCTTTTCCAAAAACTCAGTCGCATCAGACCATCAAACA